CCCCCGGTACTTGCCATACCCGACGACGGATCAAACTGCCGTCCGTGTTCACTTTCAACACCCCCTCCGGCGGGCACAACCACGACAGCCATCGCAATTCCCGTGCGCCGATCACCCCTAACTTCCGACCACTTTCCGTTGCTTTTGTAACCGTGCGCAGAATAGTAGATAACTCATTAAAGAGATTGGCTAAGGGAAGCTCACCCCCTTGGAAGATCGTGAGGTTACGCCACCTCCATAGGCGCCATACTGTCAGACCGAAGACCGATATCCAATTCAAAGTGGCCCGTCTCAAATCACCATTAAGGTTGTCCAAAAACCAATGTCGGAGGTCCATCGAAAAAAAGGTAGCCCACAAATCACGAGGAAGCAACGTCTTCCATGCCTGTCGTGCAACCGGGCAGTTGCGTAAAGCATGGAGAGTCGACTCGTATGCGGCTAAAAAAATCAGACACTCCGAGCTCGACGCCATGTGACGCCGATACCGCGTAGCGTTAGTAAACAAGCAATCCCGGGCAACTAACCATAGAAACTGGCGGACTCGCTGCGGCCCTACCCACTTCCAGATTAACGACCTCAACCTATCACCACGTCGCCCTCCATTCGGATCTATCGTCGAGTAAGCAGACTTGGTCAAAAACCTGCCATCCACCGACAAGCCCCAAAAAAGCGAATCCACCCCGCCCATACTAGAAGGCGGCAGAATAGCAAAAATACGAAGTAAGCATGTGGCCGGTAACAAGCCTTGAAACAGTGGTCAATTCCACTCGCCATCTGACGTCACGTACGCCGCCACCGGCGAATAGAGCAGCGCCTCAGGAACGGGAGCCGTGGTGAGCTTGATCAGCGGAGTATCAAAATTAAGCCACCTATCCCACCAATACCGAGTCATGTGACCATTACCCAAAGTCCATCGACATCCCAACAACGTAGCCTGTCACACGTCTCGGATGGATCGTAACACAGTAGAATTCGGGGAAAGGTGAAATCCTCGATCCTCATGTCTAAAGGGTTCAGCTTATATTTGACCCGAAGAACTCTACACCAGAGTAGGTTCGGTTCTTTTAAGAAGGTCCATGCTAGCTTCATCAACAACGCACAATTCATAAGACGTTGATCCTTCATACCCAACCCGTCATCCTGCCTTGGCTTACACACCTCGGACCAAGAAACTAAACTGATTCGCCTAGATGAGGAGGTCCCTCCCCAAATCAAATTTCAGCACTTCCGTTCCAGGCTATCACACACCCCAACCAGAAGAGAAACGGTCTGCATGGAGAAATATGCAAGCGAGCTCACGACCGACTGAGCCAACATAACCCTACCCGCCATAGAAAGCGACGAAGCCTTCCAACCGGCTAGCCTTGTCTCAACTTTTCCAGGATCTCAGCATACGTAGCCTTGGTCACTCGACTGTGGATTAGAGGCATCCCCAAGTATTTACCGAAATGATAAACTACCTCGAATCCCAATAGCCCGCCCAACAAGGAACGAACATCTTCCCTAATGTTATGAGAGAAAAATACTTGTGTCTTGGGATAGCTTACCCGGAGGCCCGAGGCCGCGCAAAAATTTTGCAGCACATCCTTTAGACAATGCGTCTGGGCAGGGCTCGCTTCTATGAACAAAAGTAGGTCATCAGCGAACATCAAGTAAGGAACCAAAAGTTGTCCCCGCCCTACTGCAATCGGCTTCCGGTCGCCACTGGTCACAGCCACATCAATCATATGCGCCAAACGTTCAATGCACAACACAAAAAGGTAGGGGGACATCGGGTCGCTCTGACGAATCCTCCGGGACGGCTGAAAATCCTCAGTAACTACACCATTCCACTGTAGCTGCATGGATGCCGACGTAACGTAAGCCATAACGGCCTCCACAAAGCTACTCGGAAACCCCACCAACAACAAAGTATCTCGAATAAAGTCCCACTGGAGATAGTCATAGGCCTTCTCCAGATCCACCTTAACCACCATACAACCCCGCGTCCCCTTCATTCCCCGCATCGAGTGGATAAGTTCTTGAGCGACGATAATGTTATCAGCAATGTGACGACCCAGAACAAAGTTTGCCTGAGCCGGGTTGATGAGCGATGTAAGGACTGGTTTCATTCGCTCAGCGAGCACCTTAGTCATAAGCTTGAAAACCACGTTGAGGAGGCTGATGGGCCGAAACTGTTTCAACGATACTGGGTTGGCCACTTTCGGGATCAGCTTGAGAAGAGACTGGTTGAGAGACGTCGGAACACCCTGACCCCGCCAGATAGCGGACAACTGGGAGCAAACCGCAGGGCCCACGTGGTACCATTTCTGTTGAAAAAAATAGTGCATGTAACCCGTCGACACCAGGTGCTTTAAGGGGCGCCATTTTCTTTAAAGTCGACCAAACCTCCTCCTCCGTTATATCACGGCCTAGCAAACGCATGCGACTCTCCTCCACTGTGGGAAACACATCTCGAATCCGATAGGTGGAAGGCCCAGCCATAGGATCTTTATAAATAAGTTTATAAAACTCAACAACCATCTGTTGCAAAGCAACCAGATCCGCAACAAGCTCGCCGGTCGCATTTTGGAGCACCACTATTTTACTATTTCTACGCCGATGCTTCAGAAGACGATGATAATACGAGGTATTCATGTTGCAAAATAAAACCCAATCCCGTTGAGCCTTCTGGATCAACAACAACTCTTCTTGCAAAAGAGTCTGGTCGAGCTCCCCTTGTAACTTAGTTATGTTTTAATTTTCATATGCATTTAAAAAAAATCCAACATTCATCAATATTTCATCATATTGAACATTTTATTTTTAAATCATTAGAAGTACTATAAATATTAGTTAAGACTTAAGACTCTACTTGTGCAACTAACATTGCAAATTTGAAAATTAAATTTACATAAAATATAAGATAGTCTTTTTAAAATAATATTTCTTTAACCTTTCATACTATTTTAATTATAAGATAGAATAAGACAAATAAAAGTATAGACAAATTGAAGTAAAGTTTAAAATATTAACCTTTCATACTATTTTAAACAATTTTATTAAAATAGAAAAAAATTAATTATATATCAAGTATTACTAATCATGAAATGTAACTGAAGCTTAATTGTTATTACTATATTTTATTTGCTTTTTAAAAATTCTCAAATTATATAGGATCAAAGTTGACATAACATATATAATAACAGATAACTAATGTTATAATTCGGTTCTAAATTTTGGTTCCTCGGTTCGGTACGGTATAGGACGGTTCGGTTTGGTTCTCGGTATGAATATTTGTGAAATCTCCAGAACCGTACCAATTATTTTTTCAGTTCGGTTCGGTTCGATTCGAAGAAAGTCAAACGGTC